CCTATTACTAAAAAATAATTACATCAGTTTTTTTTTTTTCATCTAGCTAGCTATTGGAATATCATTCGGGAGTTGTTCCACTTTGATTCTATAGGGTAAAAGAGCATAATTTATAAGCTTAATGGACTACTCCCCTATTACCAAATTGGTTGTCTAATGGGACCTCACTATGGTGCACCTAGGCGCTTTATCTGCGTGAGACCACACACTCTTGTCTCGATTCTCCAAATCATACATGATATCAAAGTCAGTCCAACTCTGACCTGGGTCTCTATCTCTCTACCCGACCTGCTCTAAGTTTGGGCTTATGAAAGACTCACATAGGAACGGACGTGCGGAAATATCATTTATGAGTTGTCCTACATTGATTGTATAAGATAAATGAGCCTAATATATAAGGGTGTCGGAATATCACTTATGAATTGTCTCACGTCGATTCTACATGATAAATGAGTCTAGTTTATAAAGACTACTCCTCACTATAGTGTACATAAGATCACTCTCTTATAATGCGTTTGTCTGGGATCTCACTCTATTGTCCCGATTTTCTAAATCTTACACTAGCCTTTATGTGGATAATAATAATTGTTAGTAAAAAAAGTTATATTATGATGGTTCTTTTTTTTCACAATTTTATTATTGTTTTTGGCATTGACACTAGAAACGATCACCAAATTTGGCATCTATCTATTCATATACATAAATATTAATGTAATGTCCAGTGGCAGCCTTTCCTCAGGCCATTTAATTGTTTCATTTACGATGTGTGGTCCCATTTGGGTTCATCAATTTTTTTTTATTTTTTTTTTTTTTAAAAAAAGAATTATATGAATCTCTATACCATAAAATTATGCCCTAATGACTCAAGAACAAGATTTTGGGGGGAATTAAATTTCTCTTCTTTTAGCCAACGGGCCTACTTGTTTGTCGATTGACTTCTCATGTGTTTTCCAAGTCCCTTTCTAAAAAAAAATAAATGAATGAATAAAAATATAAGGAAATACTGCAGTATCATTTAGGAACTATTTTGTCGGGATTTATAATCGTGAGATCATCATAAAACCATCGTGGATAGTTGATCTAACAATTACAAACCCCGACGGAATAGTTCCGTAACAAGACTGTAGAATCCTCCAAAAATATATCAATATGCTATATTCGAGTGAATTTCATACTCATGAATCATGATAGTACTAGAAGAGGTTTCAGACTATGATTGATTAAAGTAAGTTGATAGTTCATAAGTTAGCTGATGACTTATGATCCTCCACACACGAGGATCAGGTGTTCGTGTAAGACAGATACAAAAGTTATAAGTTAATTTTTAGCTAATGACTTATTAGTTAATTTTGAGATTGTAGCTGATTAAGAATAAGAGATAAATAGCTTTCTGACTCTTCTAACTTGTGGTTGAAAAGTTAGCTGATATGAAAAAATTATTTTGTAAAATTAGCATATAAGTCAGCTGAAATAAAATTTTCAAATGACTTATTTGAAAAGCTACTCAATGAAGCTTATGAAATAAACTCGAACTTTTTAAATAAAGTTCATAATGTCAAACCAAAGTTTACCTGCATACGAAAAGCTTAATTATAAGCTAATTTATAATACTTACTAAACACATTCTTAGACGTACATCAAAATGTTAGATCCTACGCACGAGGAGGTTTAGATTCTTAAATTTTTAAAATATGTTGTTCTTCGTAATTTTGTGGCGAATTAGATGGTTGAGCCAAGAATATCTTGTGCGCTAACAAATAACTCAATTTGAATATTTTTTTAACAAATTAAATTTGGTTATGCCTTTTCTTTACTCTTGTAATGTATATATAGGGCGAATTGGCTCATAATCGGCCCAGTCAAGCCCATGATTAAGAGCCTTAAATCGATCCATGGTTGGAGATTAACATATCATACACTCCTCCGGCACTGGCCGAAAGCTTGGGGCGTGTGGTCTACGTGAATCGTGTTGGTTGGCTTGGTCCTTCCCGGCGGAGGGGAGTCTCAAAGTTAACAAGGACGGGAGTGTCGATCCTTCCACGGGGATGGCTAGTGCTGGGGGAGTTATCCGAGAACATCTCGGGACATGGGTTAGTGGGTTTATGATGAATATCAGATTTTGTTCTATCATGAGCGTCAAATTATGGGGGTTGTTTCAGGGACTGAAGTTAGCATGAGATATCGGGACGCGACACATTGTGGTGGAGGTTGATAGACAGAGCATTATTGTGAATCCCGTGCCGGACAAGGTGGGCACTGACTCTGGTTCGGGCGCGGGCGCCAGAGAAGGGTTTGTTCGGGTCGTGGCTCTTGGCCAAAACTTCTAGTAGGTCGTCTGGGCCCATAAAAGGTGACGCGGGACACGCTCAACGGCAAAATGGGAACCAACTTTTCTTTGAACTCATGTATGCATAATTTAATAAATTATTCATTTTGTTGACCGTAGAGCAATGGCCAGCATTGACCATCTCTTATGCCGCATTAATTGTAATTTAAACAGATATTAATGAGACTGGTAAAACTATTAATGAGATGCATGCAAATCTCATCTAAATTTGAAGTGTTTTGTTCAAAGTAATAATTGTATGTTACACCATCAGTGATTTATCATGGTACAAAAAAGTTGGAAAATATAATATATATATAGGGGGAGGATCTAATGAGTACACTCCTTAAAATGAGTACACTCCTTAAAATGAGTCCACTTCTTAAAATATATATTAATTAAATAATAAAATAATTATTA